ATACTTCACATGCAGCATAGATTCTCTCAGGGCTGTGAGAATTACACACACTCATCCTGTGTAGCAAGATACATATGCACACTAAATAATCATGGCTATGATTCTTAAAGAGGACTAAGCTGGAGGAGACTGGACAGAAAGCAAGTACTGTCCTCAAGATGCCAGACAGCCTGTGGTGTCCTGTTTGCCATGTCAGTGTGCAGCAAAATGAAGCATGAACAACAAGGTTGCTGAACTTCTGTGTTACAGCACAGCTGAAGTAATGAAATAAACACTTACCTGAATTCCTGATCAAGCCTTGCAGTAAGCAGAGACTTGCCCTAAAGTAAAACATCATCATCTCACCCAGTGTAAGGGATTTATGTCTAAAGGCCACTGGTAGTTGCAGATGCCTGAGTCAATGCTCAGGCTTCCATTGATTTCATTTCACATCCCACCTCTCCCAGTAGAAGCCAAAACCCCAAATATATTCAATGCTGAGAGGGAAGTCTACAAAGAAACTGGTGGAGTTAAAACGTCTCATTTACTGATCTGGGTAAAATCTCACCCTCTTAAGATCCTGGACATTTGTAGCCACTAAGCATGGCATTTCATTTCGTTTTTACAGCAGTAGAAGTCTTTCCCTGAAAATTCTTGTTGAGCAATCGTATCTTGCTTCAGCTGCTGTAGTAGTTCTTATTTTAAGCAGAAAACAGGCTCCCTTTTTTTCTAGATAGTCTAGGTAGATAACAGCATTTCTCTTCGCATCAGTTGTGGAGCTCTCATCACAAATACAATGTGCAACAATAGAACACAGCTTAATAACGTTGCCATTCCTTTGTATAAATCTTTTTTTTTCATCATTTCATCAGCTTCTACTTTAGATGTCCACCAGTAAGTCAGCATACCCATTGTCAAGGTTTTCACAGATGCCACAAAACTCTGAAACATTCTTTTCATGTTCAGCCTAAGCTTATTCATTCATATATTTGTTCTCACACCAGCTCTGGCCTTCTAGCTTTACCTCCCTTCTCTAGATTGCTTTCACAAAGAACACAGGTCCATTCTCAATTGTTGATTTGACAAGCAGATTAACCTAGAGCCACCTGGAGTCCTCTCAAATGGCAGGTTTTCCCTCTCCCATACTTCCTCATCCATGCATCTGTTACATGTTGATTTTCCTCAAAATACAGGTGGCCAGTCAGCACATACTGTTCTACAGGAGATTTTACCAGAACTTTGTTAAACATCACTATTACTTCCCTCTTTCCACTGGCAATGTTTCAACCTCCAACGCCTCTGGATCTCATTGCCTTTTTCAAAACCATGTCATAGCAATATCATGTTCTGATTAGACATCGCTTCCTGTATTTGTCTTTGTCCCTTTGGAGATGTTGAGTAAAGTGTCTTACCTGGCAACTGAGCACAAACGAGTGATTAAAAGCCTGGTCTGGTGTAATATTTGCCATGTCAAAAGCAATAGAGATAGCACCACTTCTGCCTCAGATTAAGATTATTGGGTGTGATTCTAGACACATTTTCACCTACTAAAGTTAATAATACTGCAAAGATTGTGCACAGCACTATAAAGAGGTAAAGTTCAACATAAACAACATCATTTAGCTTGTAAATATATTCTCTGAGAAAATGCAAAAACATCTTCAACCATGCTTCAAAACACAGCACCTTTGAGAGAGCGATGCCTTCCCTTCCCTGTTCCAGCATTTTCCCAGGCAAAGCTTTTGCTAGGACACTGAGCCCTTTACTAACGCTTCTGCTCCACAAAGCTAGTTTAAACACACACAATGGAAGGCCACCAGCAAGCCTGCCCTCTCTGCTACCTCTTATCACAAGATCCTTTGCCATGGCTCTGCCGTTTATCCAGTGCTGCTCTGAGCAACCTAACAGAGAAGCACAGATTTTACCTTCAGAGCATTGTGGGGCTGCATTTTAAGTTTCATTCCACTTTGGATCACTGCAGTTACAGTAAGACCCATGTTTGGGAAGTGACTTTATTGAAATTTATTTTCTTGTTCTCCCTACTTTAAAAATTAATTATTTAATGGAAAACTACAAAGATGTCCTTTAATTGCAACAGAGGAAAAAGCAGTCCTGAAGAGCTGTTATGTCTTGCATGTAAATTAAGCTACTCTGGTGTGTAAATCCAGGTTTGTACAAAGAACTAGAATAACCCAAGTTATCCTGCCACAGAGCACATAAAAAAATGCTGTAAAAAAAAAGGTGCTGTTACGTAGGACCCAGTTTCTCCACTTCCTTTGACATCTTTAGTTGACCCCCACAGTGCAGTCAGTACCCCTTTGACAACTGTATGATAGTGCAAATATCTTGTCTCTACTTACTGCTCTGACAACTGACTGTCCCAGTCTCAGATGTATTTTGTCTCCAGATGTAAGCCATGCATGGCTCAGACATTGTCTGTGCTAGAATGTTGCTCAGCTGGACCTTGAGCCTACAGCACAAACAACAGTAAGTGTATTAGTCCAGCCAAGTCTTAGAGCACTGAATTTGTTGGGTTTTCTGTTAGGAGTCCCTTGATGCTCTGGAGCTGTCCCAGTAGCTCTGGGAGCCCAAAGCCAACAGCCAGAAGAATCAGAGTCAGGACTACCTGCAACGGCTCAAGGTAAGGACAACAATCAAGAAAAATAAACCACCAGCCCCAAACTTACCTGCTTCCCACTTCTCCTGAATGTTCCCGTGACTTCGGATGCCAGGCTGATTTCTCCTTAATAACTAGGACAAAAGACACATTCCTCCCACATGTCAAGAAGCATTTAACAAGACTGAAGAACCTATGCCATACAGTGAGGGTACAGACTTGTGGACAAGTCTCCTGCCATAACAAAGAGTTTCAAATGAGGTGGCTGCTTACACACAAGTTTAGGAAATTAAAATTAACTATTAAGGCCCCATGCCTTGTTCTGACAAAGGAGTCCTGCGACTGTGGAAGAACTTATGGAGAAGCTGTGCCTTAAAAGATTCTATTGTATATATCTAGCAAATATGAGTAGATACAGGTTTTGAAGAAAAACACTCCACCTTCCCAGCTATGTGCTGATATCCAAATACCTGTATCTACAATGCCCAAGCATGCCCAATTAGGAAAGGACCTCAAAACCAAGAAAGAAGTAAAACAAAGTATGCAATTCAATTCATTCACATCAGAAAAAATAAAAAGGAAGCACTCAGGAGAAACAAAGGAAACACCCATCCTACTACAAACATTCAAAGGCTTGGCATGGTGGCAAGGTGAAGGGCAGCTGAGACAAGAATACCTGAATATCTCATATGGAAAAATATACAAAAGTCACTCAGCAAATATGACAGATGGCCAAATCCTACAAAGCAGGAGATGTGTGGTACCAATTGTAAAGAAAATTGATAACATTAAGTTGTTGTTCGTCTTATGTCAGCTTAAGTAAATAAGTGCTAAGGACATAAAGGTTGTGTCCTCCCAGATACCAAGTTTAATCACCAAGATGAAGTCACTGTTCGAAATACATCTAAAAAAATCAGTTTTGAGACATGCTTTCTCAAGGATAGATTTAATCTCTCAATTAAGAGATTACTATCTACTGCTGTGCAGCACCAGTCTGAGATGGGACTTGGGAAGTCCCACTGTCAGGTACCCTGATGTTATAAAAGAAACTATGCAACACAGTATTACACTGACTTTTTTGCTTACTTTTTATAATAAGGAAAAACATATCGAGACAAGTGTTCATAAGAAAAATCGTGACAAGCACATGAGCAAAACTATTATTTATTGAAAGTGAAACACATAAAAAATATCAAGAATCATACCCATTTGTAAGTCTTTACATCATTTCAGAAAAGACAAATTTCCCATCTCCAGTTTTCAAATACAGAATCAATACGTTCAGTTCAGTGTAAAAGCCACAAAAGTAAACAGTGTTTGTCTGCTTCCCTTTTATATAGTAGATATTTTTCAACTGAATAATTCAGTGTTTTTCTCTGAGCTTTCTGCTAAGTGAGGTGAATTCCATCCCACAGCACAGCAGCATCTGATATTATTTTACTCATTCACGTTCATAAGGTGTGCTTACCTTGAATATTGATGTTTCTAAAATATATAGACATACACAGAGATTCCTTGAAAAAAGGTCTGGCTGAATTGCATGCCCAGTATAAGGAAAAAATATCTAATTCAGACTCTTCAAAAGAGTCTTTTTTCCTCTTAGAAAGAGAAAGATGGGACAGCAAGTTTCGTCAAATGTGATGATCAAACTGTAGGAAGAAGCAACACAATCCCATGGTGTGCCTTTACTTGTAAAATATATAAAGGGGAACTATTATTTCCTCAGAACAAACAGTTACTGAAGTAAGGTACTCTATATTAAACTTCTGGGAGTCTAAAAACCATTGTAATCCTTGAGAAAGGTATAAAGGAAATACCACAGAGCTCTTTGAAAGCATGAATGGCAAAAATGGAAAGCAGTTAATGATTGTGCAGTCTTGAAAGCGCATGGGCATCAGCCAGTAGCAAGTTGAAAGCAAAAGGACACATTTCATCTCTCAGGGCATAGTTACAATCTGTGGACCTCCTTGCCAGATGAAGTAAATTGTAAACATTCATGGAGTGAGGTTGATAGAGCAAATGAGATAAAGAAGAAATCAGTGTTTCCTCAAACACCACCACACCTTTGACAAAAAGAGGTGCTCTACTCAGTGGAGTTCGGAAGATCATTCTCCAGATTCTTGAACGTCTGAATAGACCTCCCCAGTCATCTGGCATCGGGCACGGTAAGATGAGGTACTGGGCTAGGCAATTCCCTGCTCTTCTCCACACAACAAAGCAATATCCACATTGTACTGTACATCCCCTCAGCTTTTCATAAGAGCGTCCATTATCTGGAATGAATTTTCAGTGTCGTGTGTGCTGCTCTCTTCACAAGAACACAGTTTCCAGCTATTAGTTTTCAGTATATTCTGTCTTGAACCATACACTGCAGCCCATCTGTATCCTTGACTATGGAAGGTGCTCATGTATTTGATGTATTGATGACTTTCTTCAACTTTCTCCTTTGCAGAGCCAAGTTTAGGGCTTTGAAGAGAGTGTCCTTGCTGTTCAGAACATTGTAGCGATTCACTTCCACCAACCTGTTGAAATCATATGGCTCAAAGGTGAAATTTAGTGTACGGTAAGGAGAATCTTTTGACTCAATAACAAAGTCACCAAAGGATTTCTCTTCTTCTGACTCACGTTTAACTCCTGCAGCAATAAGGCAATAAATAAATAAATAAGTAAAATATATAAAAACAAAGAAAAACAACACACACAAAATCCCCAAACAGAAAACCCCACAAAACCAAACAAACCAACAAACCCCAAACAAGCCAGCTATGGTAGGCTCATTTTCATAGAATCATAGAATAGTTAGGGTTGGAAAGGACCTTAAGATCATCTAGTTCCAACCCCCCTGCCATGAGTAGGGACACCACACACTAAACTATGTCGCCCAAGGCTCTGTCCAGCCTGGCCTTGAACACCTCCAGGGTTGGAGCATTCACAACTTCCTTGGGCAACCTATTCCAGTGCCTCACCACCCTCACTGTAAAGAACTTCTTCCTTATATCTTTTACTTGGATTCTGCAAGGAGAATAGCACAGACAACTCTGGTGAACCTTAACTTTTTCCCCAAAGCTCCTCCTCAGAGATTCCAGCTCCTTCAGGATCCAAAATGCTTGGAAGCTGAAGCTAAAGTATTATTGCCCTTTCTACTTCAACCAGACTCCAAAATACAAGACTAAAATACATTTTCATTGTGATAAATTGTTTAGTGCATTCATGATTATCATGCTCAAAATAGGAAATACTAAACTAAATTCTTCCCGGAAGTGCTGTTCTACACTAAAAGACACTAAACACCGTAGTTTATGAGTGACCCTTGGAGGTTAGTATATACCCTTCAAAATACGGTAACTCCTGTTTTTAGCACCCTGCCACTTAAATTCAAATACCAGTCTTGAAAGATGAACATTAAACTGCTAAAACCACTTGTGCTTGTAGCTTTCATAGGAACAGTAATCTTGAGCCACATCCAAGCCCAGCACTGTGAAGTAACAATTTAATAATTACAGAGTAATACTAACAAGAAAGAAAGGGGAGACACTGAGCTCACTGAATTATCCCTGTCAGCACACCCAAAGGATTGTAAAAATAGCTCTTTCTTGTACAGCTCCCTTACCTGGAGCTTTGTATTCCTGGAAGGTGTCATTCACCAGTGGGAAATGGAGCACAACTGGAGCCTTTGGATTATCATCATCCACAAACACGTAACACTCTTTTGGCTTCTTTTCATCTTCCTCACTCCATTGGATTCTTGGAAAAGGAATTTCTCGCTCCTCACAGTATTTCTGAGTCAATTCTAAAACCTGTTGTCAAAGAACAAAAATGATTTTGATACAATACCAGCAACAACTCAAAGATCATCTGGAAAGAGACCTTCAATTTAAAAAACCAAATAAATAAAATAATGAAGAGCAGAACTGAGAACTGCTACCAAACATCAGCATTTTTCAAATGAAACTTTTTATGTTTTGTTACTTTGAATACACTCGCCTTTTCTGCACTTAAAAAGAAACACTTGTATATACAGGAAATAATTTGTTTGCGTGAAGAAAAATAAACAGTAGCCACTTTTCCATTAGAAGCATACATCTAAGTAACAAGGATTATATGAGCTAAACAAATACTCTTTATTCTACATAACAATCTATTTAGGCTTCTGAAAAGCTTTGAATCTTACTACAGTTGTCACTTTCCTTCTCCTCATGACATTCACAGTAAAAAGCATAGATTCTAATACATTCTTTCATTAGTGTTTGTATTCAACATCAACTCATCTGCTGCCATTGTGAATATGATTCTGTGCTTTCATTTTCATGTAATAATGCTCTCACCTCAAACGGAGCTTCCCAGGAATAATTGAATGACAAGATAACATCCACATCCCTCTCTGGCTGAAGTACCAAAGGAAAGGGAGAGTTGATAGAAAAGCCACCATCCACTAAATACAAGCTCTCTTCCATGGGGGTCAGCTGGTTGGGGAACGCATCCAGATGAGTGCCTAGAAGACACTCCAAGTAACACAAGTAACTATAACGACTCATTGAACACCTCTCAGTACAAGCAACAAACAAAGCTTACACTGGGGTTCTAAGAAGAAAAAAGATATTCCTACTCGCACATTCCTCTGGGTCCAACCTGTAAAGTCTGATGATGAGCTTGCCTTATATGAGCGAACATACATCGTGGATCAAATGTTTTGCTACAGTGTGAGAAGTGTAAGTAAATTCCCTGACTTCAGTGGGACAAAGCTCATTTATGTTCTGTAACATCAACTGTTACCAAATATTAGCACACTATTTGATATCCCAGATACACATAGAATCATTTACCTCTCCAAGCCACAAATTTCTTGACGTTAACGTAATCCCTATGAAGATACAATCCCTGCATGAAGTTGAAGGTTTCTCCACATGTGACCCGGGACTTGAAGAAATCCTCTAAGATTTGTAACAAGGGACCCCCAGGTATAACCAAGCGAGTCTTCAGTCGTGTTGGATCACGGAAATGGAATCTTCGGCAGTCATCTGCAGAAGCCACAGAGGGATGCAGAACACATACAAAATACTTGCCTATGTATCTATCTCCAACATTTCAGTCAGATTTTTCTCTACAATATTTAACCAGGTGTCCTAAGGCCGAATTTGTCCTCTAATGAAAAAGAAAGAGCATTTTAATTAAATTTAAATGAACCCTATATCCTATAGATGGATAATTTACCTTCCCTGTTTAAAGGGAATAGGATTACTCATAACTCATTGCCCATATTAATGTCAAACCCCCACAAAGAAACCCTTGTTACCAAGTGACAACCACTTCTGACTCATAAGACAACAGTCATATACCCACAGTAACGTTTATAGTAACAACAACAAATGTGGGGGGAAAAAAACTAGGGCTGCAAAAGCAGAGAAGAAAAAAAATCCTCAGCCCCCATGACTTGCTATAAAGCTATAACATGCACCTGAGCAACTCTTAGCTTTTAATACACTTCCTTTTCACTGCTAGGGAAGCATTGTACAAACGGAGAACAATGCATACAACCATCTTACCCAAGATTACAAAAATCAGGCCAAGGAGGGAACTGAAAACCTATTTTCCACCTCCTGCTTAGCAGACCAGCCTCTAGTCTTCCTCTTCGCATGAGTAAGACTGGAACATGTGCTTAAGACAGCTCCCAGACAGGCAAAATCAGACACAAAAATTGAAAAAGGAAGAAAAGAAAGTGTACTAAAAAACTGTAACTACTCTCTTTGCTAAATGTGAGAAGGAATGATACACAGTACAAGATATTTGCCCAAACCCATCCCTTACGCTCATCTTGAAAACCACACACAGCATGTTTTTCAGTCATATTATTTGTATGATCATTCCAAAACTAGGAATCTTTTGAAAAGTCCTACTATTTTAATGTATGTTCTTACCTACAACTTTGATAACATCTTTGAAAGAATCTAGAAAGCCCAGTCCTATACCAACCACCTTCAGGCAGATATCATCCAGGCTTGCAGCAAAGGCACTGCCCCACATTCCTGCGGGAGAAATGTAGAACTTAATACTCAAAGGGCTTTTCACACCGTAACCAAAAGACCTGTAATTCACCTGCCATTTGCCATGAGAGAGGGCTCTCACGTGACCCCCTACTATTCTAACAGTGATGTTTCAGTTTAAACCTTTGAGTTAATCACTTGACAAGTTCTGATGTAATAATGTAATGCAGAAATTTCTCTAAGAGAAAAGCCCTTCTATCAGCAAAGAAAAGATGGCAAGAGAATGGAAGACCTAAAGCAGAAGTTTTTGACAGGCAGCTCATCATGGAGTTGTCTTGCAGACTCAGGACATCAGACTGTGAAACTATGAACCTACACCTAAACCTCTGGAGAAAGATTTGACATTTTTCCCTTCCTCAAATTCTTTAAGAAGGGACAAAAATGCATGGGTTTAAGTTGATGAGTCCCAAAAGCAGAGTAGCTCCTTTCCATCTCCCCATTTTATTTGTTACTGTAAGATCATACCTTGTAGAAAACAGATCCTAGGTTCTGGATGTTTCTGGATGAGCCGTCCCATGAAGAACTCACTGTCAAAGTCTTCTGTTCGGACAAAAGCCCCGTATTTACGAAACCCAACTTCATAGGGAGTGAACTCACACCATTCTAAGAACAAGCCAACAGGATATTTGCTCATCTCAGAGTCAACATAGGTAAAAATACTCATTTGATTTCTGTTCACAGAAAACAGACAGAAGGAGTTACCCCTCCACTTTTCACCTTCACTATGGATCTCCCTGCCGCTACTGTCAGTGAAACTCTATCTTACACATAGAATCATAGAATGGTTTGGGTTGGAAAGGACCTTAAGATCATCTAGTTCCAACCCCCCTGCCATGAGCAGAGACACCACACACTAAACTATGTCGCCCAAGGCTCTGTCCAGCCTGGCCTTGAACAGGCTATCACTGGCTAAATACAAACCTCCTTTCTTTCTGGCTTTGGGGGTTGGAAGGATATCACATCTTGCTCCATCTTGACTTTGTTACTGCAGAAATAACCTATTTTACTTCCAGTTAAAACTATCTTGATGGCTCCCTTTCCCATCACAAATGGAAATTCACATTTCTTAGCCCTTCTTCACACTACTTGCCATCTCTCAGAAACTATTACAGTACTGCCTTGAAAACTCAATTGAGCTACTGTGCCAAACTTCATTGTCTGCTCATCAAAGTGTCCCCTCATGCTTGAAAGCTTTCCACAAATACTTACAAATCAAATTCATTGTCATAAACAGAGACTCCTCCAGAACAAAACAGAAAAGTCCCACAGTGGTACACAGATGAACACAAGTGCTTGTGTTCCTGTCTCACTATATCTATCCTCACTTCTTACATTATATTTAAAGTTTCAAGTGACCTGGAACAGGACTCACCTTCGTTCTTTACCATAGTTGTATAACCAGGAAGAATGCAGGCTGCTAAATACCACGATTTTAATGATGCATGCTACGAGGTGGCAAATCCATCATTTTACATGAATCCTACACAAACTGATTATCTGAGACTATAAAAGAAAGTAGGTCACCTAATTACCAAGGACTTCAATTCTCTGATTCAGACATAGCCTTGTGTGTACTAAGAATCTCCCATCTCAGCTCCTGAAAATTTCAGGCATTGCCTAGACAAACCAGCAGAGTTGAATCTCATTTCTCTGTTAAAGCCACGATGAAGACATTTGCGATCAGGATGGTAACACTCTGCCAAGCAATATCCTGTTGCTTCTTGTATTACCAACTGCTGCTTGAGGCACATTTTCTGTTGCCAGCTACTCACTACCCAGGGAACTGAACAGGTGAAAGGAATTTATGGATATTAGCAAAAAATAAATTTGCCATGTTCATACCTGCAAAGTCACCACTGCTAATATTGGGTCTCACATTGACAGCTGCATAAATAGGATAGGGGTTCTGGGCCCATTTCACTGCTTCTTGCTGATCAGAGAGCTTCGATGGATCTTCCTGGTCACAAGCAAGGAAGGAGAAGCACACTTTAGTCAGAGAAATTCTGTACCCATACTTCAATCTGAAGCTGTTGCTTACACATCTTCACTAAGGGCAAATTCTGCCTGACAAATTTGGCGGCCTTCTACAACTGGGCCACCTAGAAAACAAGCAGCAATACACATCCAAATGTGAACTTTTTTACCTTTTGTTGTAGGAAATATTCCACAATAAGGCCCCACAAATCTGTAAAGGAAACTTTCCGTCCACTAATCTCCATTGCATTCAGCTCCTGGAAATAGTATTTCAGTCGTTCTGGGGAGAAAGCCCCTGCTTTGCTGCTGGACACAGTAGCCTGGGCTCTCCTGATTGCATCTTGAAGGTCTTTCTGCGACCAGTCAGGGTCTTGATACAGTGTCGATAAACACCTGAAAATGCTTGTATTAATGTCATCAGAAACAATAACCCTCATGTAAACATCAGTTTTAGGTAGCTATGATTAGTGCTGCAGCAATTGAATTAAAAGCTTGAGAAGTCTAGGTATACGCTAAAACATCATTAAAGAGACTATAATAATGGATCTTGGAACTCTAAAATGTGCTGAAATCCCTGACACCTTCAGGACAACTTCATCCTGATTGCTTATCCACCTCTGTAGGTTGTTCCAAGCACCATACGCTAGCACACATGAACCAGTTCATAAATGTGAGTTAACTCCAGGCCGTAACAACCCTGAGAGACAGTAAGAGTGCTACTACCATACAGCAACAGAACACAGGTCCAATTAAATGAGAAACTAGTTTGGACTATTGGCTATCCACATAAACAGATGCCTACATTTGTTTGCAAGTGTGTCTGAATCAAAAGGGGCAGGCCAGATCACAAAGTTAGTGGAAGAATGCTATGTACATAGGAGTTAATTTAACGCACAAAGCTCTGGAAGGGAGGATTATACTATCAGGTTGCACAACTCCTCAGTGAAATCATTTAATGAAAACAACGTGTACTCATTATGAGGGATGATTTCACCTCAAAATCCAGGAACTGAGCTACTGAAAAATTCTAGCCATGCCTAACACTTCAGCACATTGCTCCAATCCACCAAGGGGCAAACCAGTGCTATTCCTCTATTAAGCCACATACAACATTCTGGAAGGTGGTGACACAGTGGTCCTTGTGCACGTTTCCAGTGATTTGCACCGCCTCAGTTATCTTGGCAACAGCAGGGCAATGGGGAAAACTTTTGAAGTCAGGGCTCTGAGGGAACACATGGCAGTTTTATTTAGGCAGTATGTTCCAATATTCAACTGCCAGGCTCCCAAAAGCAGCAGATTCATAAATTTAGCCAGTAGATATATGGATTAGAAGTGATAATGAATCTCTTATGATTCTTCAGGATCCCCATTAGAACTGACAGGTCAAAACTAATAAAACATTTGAATGCGTTGTCTGTTTACAGATGGCACAAATGTAGTTTTGGCCTTATTTTACATCAACATTACCATATTCACTTATAAGTTTCTGGAATCAACACTTACCAAGTAGAGCCAGAAATCCCACATAGATATATTGCAGCATCCAAAAGGCCCAGCTGCTGGAGCCCAGCAAGACTGCCATAGAATGATGTCAGTGCTCTCATGCCACCTCCAGACCCCACCACTGCTACGACTGGGACCTGCAGGCAGTAGTCACAACCGCAGACTTCTGAATTGCCAGTAAGTTGCAGAACTAACCCCATTTAAGACTTGCCCTTATAAGAGATTAAAATCTCTATTCCTATTTATATTTCAAGTCATTTCAGAGCTCCTTTCTCTACTTTCTAATTGAAATACAAATATAAAAATATAAACAATAGCAGTGTCATCTCAGGGACAGTCACCTACTGTTATGTATATCTGTTACTACGCATTTACTTGCCTGTCATACAATATACACATAAGAACAAAAAAGGCAATCATACTTATAACAGCACCCAGAAATCACAGAGCAAGGTACCAGGCTAACCAGATTTAACAGTATCCTCAAATGAGCAACTAATACCTCATCTTTTGAAGGGAATTCTTTTAAGTGAAGAGCCTTCCTCAGTGCTTCAGAAACTATTTTCTTCCTTTTGTCCAAAAATTCTCTCTCCTCTTTACAGAGATCAAAACCCAGACGTATGTCAAGATTCCAAGTGCTGAAATAGAAATAAAGACCAAAAAAACCTGGAATTTTGGAGCTTTTGTAATTACAGGGAAAAACAGTTTCCATGAACACGCAATCTAGGTGCTGATCTGAATCACTGGATCCAAGTCTTCATGTAAACTTTAGTATATGTCTATAAACCAGCTATTTTGTAACAACAGATTTTGGAATTAAAAGTAAAACTTCTCCCTGTTGCATTTCTCCCTTAGTATCAAAATGCAAAATTTGTGTCAAACAGTATTCCAATTCAGCTTCAAGGAACTTCACAAAGGAAGAGAAGATTCTTGGTGAGTGAAGAAGATTGTACAAAGGACGACTGAGATCACTGTATTGACATGAATGGAGACATAAGGGGAAGTGCAATTAGAGTTTCCAAACTTCAGAGGCAGAAGGGGACAACTGAACGCCAGTAAACTTGCTATGAGTATGTAAGAGTAGAGCAGGACCTTCAGTTAGTTACTATATACCAAATGATCCTATCAACTTACCAGCCAACTGCTCGGGTTTGTGTGTGTTTTCTTTCCTTATCACTTCCTGTATTTTATGGTTCAAACTCTTCACACACTGAGATGTCCCTACAGCACTGCACATACTCTCAAAACGACCTGTACCTAACAAAGCTATTCAGTATTTACACCATCAGCTATTTTACATTAGGAACGCAAAATTTGTTCAGATTTCAGCAGGCTTGACACCAATCCAATAGGTAGCATCTGCACAGTGAAGAGCCGCAGCCTTCAGAAGAAAAATAACCAGGTATTATTCCTGAATCTAACCCAAGAGAACAATGCAGGCAACAGACCTCCCCAGAACAGTGGGGAGAATTACTCAGCTTCCTCACTATGAGAATAAAGACCCTTCCTCATTTTTAGAGGTCTTTGAGATTCCCACTCACCTTTCTTCAGCTTTAAAACTCATATCCAAACTTTGTCCCTGTGAAAAGAGAGAACACATCTTGCAATTGACAGTAACTATGCAGGTGGAACTACTAACTAGAAGTTATAACATCAGCAGGGTCACTTGATACTAGCCAAAACAGCAGTTTCACCCACAAAACTACATCTCTAGAACACTTTCTGTTGCAGTATTTCAGACATTTTCAATAGTCTTCACAGAAACTAAAAACATAAACTCAGAGAGCAGGGTGGAAAAAAATATTTCTTCTTCAAGCTTCTTGATTTTCTCCTCCTGTGATATTTTAATTTCCCACCCTAACAGCCTTTTTGCTTTGGAATGTGATGAACTCTATTCATCACTTATTCTGCAAGACCCAACCATGAAAACATTCTTAAAAGAATTGCACTGACTAATCTCAGTGTTTCATTCGATATATCCAAGGAAACAGCACTCCTAAGAATCATGTGAAGCTTAACTTTTCAAATGCCTGCAGGCAAAGGGGAGGAAAAGTTATGCCAAGCATGTTAAAACAATTTCCAAATGTTGACATTACCTCTCCCAGAGAAACGATTCTATCAACTTTTTGTCCAATAGGAAGGGAATTAACTGGTACAGTCCCCAATCCCAGAACTGTAGTATGCTTTTCAATATCATTCATACCATCCTATTAAAAAACAAAATGTTATTTGAGCTCGCCAGATAAAAGTTAAAGATCTGTCTTTCACATGTTAAAACAGCAAACAAACTTTAAGTTCATTATAAATAAACCTTTCCCGAAAGTCTAAGACTTTTCAAGATCATCCTGCTCCCTGCTTGACAGATCTTTGCTGGGATTATTTCTGTCACTCAAATAGCTTCTCTTTGGTGGTGGTGGTTTGGTTTCTTTAATATAGTTGTCTACCACAAGCAAAAAATCTTATGGGCCATACTGGAAGTAGTCCTCATAGTGAATATTCAGTTACTCCTATGGGATACACACACAGCATGGGTACACGTAGAAACTGAAGTGACAGACAAAGCTAAAGAAATCTTTGCAAGTGACAAGTTCTCTGCAAGTTTCTAATAGGAAAGACCTGCTACAGAGTGTCTCAACAGTGAAAGTAAAGATGTGTTCATGTAGCAAGCATGTGCAGATTCAGATTGTTTTAAACCCCAAATTTGAACAGATTTTCAAGTGTTGGGGAGGGTATGCTTCTAAGACAAGTTCACCTCTTTACCCAACATCAAACACTCAGTGCAAAGTCTGACATTTTTATTCCTTTTTTTAAATAAAAAACCTAGTAGTGTGTAAAAAGCAGTGATAGTGAACAACATCTCTCTGCTCATACATTCCTAATGCATAGCCAGAAAAACAATACATTCATTCAGCCCAGAAAATTCTGATCTGAGCAGTTACAACATCAACCACATCCATATAGTACTCCACAAGAAACTTGCTTCCAATGCAAGCTTTTGACATCCATAAGTACCTGAATAACATACTGACATCTCTGAACATCTGAAGAAGTCCCTGGTCTTCTCATGATCAATTTAAGGCTGTCAAATTTATGTTTAAGGACATTTTCATGCAACAAAAGGCACTGGTTTCAGGTTGGATTTATTCAAAAGTCAGCTGTAAACTTTGTAGCAGTCAGCATGGATGCTTACCTGTAGGACAGATACGGTTTGCTCCAGCTCCACTTGCAGTTCTGGACAAATTTCTTTATCCACATGAAAGACAAATGAGGTTCCATAATCCTCGCTGTCTGGTCCCAGTGGAATACACAACTGCTTCTGGTATGCCCCTGGAACAGACACCTTGACCTCACAGCTCCCTATGCATTAGAATAAGAAGTTTAGACTACAGGAGACAAATAAATGTTGAAAATCAGATACATGTTAAGTGTAACTGAGACTATAAAAACATAAGCTAATACTCTCCTGCCTGGTACCCAGTGGAAGTGACCCAGTATGATTTAGTATCAAAAATAAAAGCAAAATTAACTTAAAAAGTAAATTTTGTAGTCAGTAAATAAAAATGCAGTGTGTAGACAGTGAATCAAGTCTCCCAAGAAATAAATATGCTGAAAAGTAGATCTGACAAACCCTGCGGGTAGCCCTACCTTGCTGTTCCTCTTTGTTGATAGTGCCTTGCAGAGACAAGCACGGATGAACCTATGAAAAGAAGAAACTAGCTCTGATTATGACATTTTAGTTCACTTCTTTGTTGAAGCTTAATCTACCTACTATACTAGGTGTAGGCATACAGCTGCAAGCTGCCAAAAACACATTAAAGATTATTTTGATCTTTCAAATAAATTTGGATGGGATTATTTTCTCTTGTTCCGAAATCAAAACCACCATTCCTATTCCAGTAACTGAGGTTTTTCGCAACCAGGACTTCACAGTTACAAGTTCTCAACACCTGGGGGTTTTCTATTGTTTTACTTTTTTTAATGCATGTTTGAGTACCTCTCCAGAACCTGGCAGAGAGGCAGAAGCTGGAGAGAAAAGGAACTATTTGGAAGCAGGAGTAGAATTCTCAACTATTCTTTTTCTTTTGCTACTGAAAACCTCTTAAAGGAGTAAATCCCAACATACATGTAATTATCTTCCATGTACTCACCACGAGGACTCCATTGGTCAGTACCTTTGTAGGGGCATCTAAGCTGTGAAAGGAAGACACATTATTAGGATTTTTTTTAATTTGTTTCATCCTACTTTACAGACTAAATGCCTGGATAAGCATGGGGGAGAACAGCGCTCAGTGTGTGAGATCTACGCCAATTAGACCAACACCAAGAATATTTCCCT